GTTATCCCTGACTTGGGTTGGGGGAGCCTTGGTGAAGGGGAACCCAACAGGGAGAGGAGGAGGAAACCACTCACTAAAGGGTTTATGGTTGTTGTTATTGGCCATGGAGTAGGATCCACTCATACTCATAGCGACCCCTCCTTGAGTTTCCCGGGCAGTATCACTACAGAAGTAGATTGCCCCATCTTCCTTCCGAGGAGTGGCTGGTGGGTAGACATATATTAATTTGGGTGAAAGGGGAGGCAATATAGAGTCAGGGGTAGGTCAGCACACATACACACACACACACAAAATAAAAGCAAAAGAAACAAATTCCTCAGGTCTCTGAAACCAACAGGACAGACCTCCCCAGGAGTGAGTCCTGGTTTGTCTGCACCCCCTTTCAGGTGCAGGGCACTGCTAATTAAGGCTGCAGCGTGCTGAAGAAGTAGTCATGTTGCGTGGAGGCTGCGCTCACGGCCAACAGTCTCTAGGTGGGGGCTCTAATAGCAACAAGGTGGGCCTCCCTGGATCCATACGGAGTGTACCAGCACCCTTCCCGCCCAGACACTGTTGGCTGTAAGCCTGCTGCAAATTGCTACAGGAGGTCTGGAGTCAGGCTTTCAGAGTAAACACTCTCCCAGCTGCCCAGCTCACCCCCTAGCTGAGGCCGCTGAAACTAACAGGACAGACCTCCCAGGAGTCAGCTCAGGTCTGTTTGCTTCTCGGCTGACTGTGGCTACTCTGTGCTAAAGGAGCAGCTATGTGGAGTGGAGGCTACACTCCCAGCTAACATACTCCAGGCGGGGGTATGGTAGCAAGGATGCAGACCTCCCTCCTCCATCCATTTGGAGCGTGCCAGCACTTTCCCACCCAGACACTGTTGGCTGCAAGCCTGCTGCAAATGGCTACAGAAGGTCAGTGCAATGGAGTCAGTTCTCACAGTAAACACTGGCCCTGCTGTGGTGCTCACCCCCTAGCTCAGGCCTCTGCAACTAACAAGACAGACCTCCCAGGAGTCAGCTCAGGTCTGTTGCCCCCCCCCCCCTTTCAGGGGATGCAGAGCGCTGCTGGCTGTGGCGGCTTTCTGTTAAAGAAGCAGCCATCTTGAATGGAGGCTATACTCACAGCCAGCATCCTCCTGGGGGCTCTGGGAAAAAAAAAAAAAGAAAAAGAATTAAAAACAAATGCATGTAAAAGAATATTGAGCCTGGATACATCATTTATATATAGATATGCATCCTGCATTACGAAATTCTTAAGAGAGAAAGAAGTATTTGAGAGAGATGGTTTTAAAACTGTTTACATACATGGAAAGGAATATATCCATATATATTTATCAATGCACATATTATATACACATATATGTACATGTCCATATATGTGTGTAAGGAGGCCTGGTAACGCAGTGGTAAAAATGTGTGGCTGGCAGCCACTCTGCAGGAAAAAGATGTGGCAGTCTGCTTCCTTCAAAGGATCTACAGCTTTGGAAACCCTATGGGGCAATTCTGCTCCTATGACTTGAAATTGACTGACTTCAAGGTTCTTTATTACTGTTGTTGTTGTTAGCTGGTGTCAAGGCGGCTCCGACTCATAGCAACCCTCTGGACAACGGAACAAAACACTCTCTAGTCCTTCACCATCCTCACAAGCCTTGCTGTGTTTGAGCCCATCACGGTAGCCTCTGTGTCAGTCCATCGAGTTGAGGGTCTCCCCCTTCTCCGTTGACCCACCAAGTGGGATAGCCTTCCCCAGGGACTAGCCCCTTCTGACAACCCGACCAACGTACGTGAGACAATGTCAGATCATTTTTGCTTCTAAGGTGCACTCTGG